AGATTTTTGCTCTTTCGTAATGCATGAATATCAGAGCTTCTCGAAGGTGTTGATTCGACCAGGTGTGTGTCTTTCTGCAAATTAATCAGCCGTTGATATTCATCAGCTATGTCATGTAATGTTAACTTAGGATTTTGTTCTAGCTGATTGAGCAGTCGAGTTCGGATATCTGTGAAACGAGGAGATTGAAGACTGCATATGAGAATCAAGGCTTTGAATTGATCATCTGTTAAGGACCTGAGTCGAAATCTCTCACATTCTCGGTTGACTGTGCCAACGTGAGTAAGAAAATCATCATTTTCATTCATTGTCAGCTTGAGGCAACGATAACGTATGCTGAATAATGAGGAGTGGTCTCCAAAATGTTCACGCAGCAGCTTTATTGTATCATCGAAACACTTGTCACGTGGTTTCTGGGGTAAAATTAGGTTGCAGTACCTTTCATATTCTGCGGGACCCAATTTACGTAATAACACTCGCACCTTCCAAGCATCGTCTTGTGAGGCGAGATCAACTGTGAATAAATCCTCATATCGTTGATACCATGTGTCAAAAGTGACATTCGCATCTGGATTTTAATTGAACTGTGAAATACTATTCACAATGCCGTCGACAGATGGTAGCATGGTATGATTCAGATTGCTTGAAGGTGAAGTTGGACCAGTCTGTTGGTTAATGAACATTTCCATTAATTTCATTTGTCGTTCAAATAGTAATTCCAATTTAGAAGGATCCATAGTTTTCCCCGTCGCCAAATTATTGTTATGTACTGGTCGAGAATTTAATAGTCCTGACGCAAGAAAGACGGAAATCAGAAGACCACTAGGTTTGCGATGATACTTCTATTTTCCAAACACAAGGAGAATCAATGTCACACAAGAGTGTGAGAGCAAAAATATATATGAATGTCCGAACAAGTGTGTGAACACAAGTGTGTGAGCGAATATTCAAAATGAACAAATCAATAGACAGTCTTAACATGATTGGCTAATTATAATGGAATATCGATCCGTATATACCTAGCAAATATAACAGACTGTCAAACAAACACACATATTATATGGATACATATCACCTCCCCTTTTGTGAAGATTGATGGTTATAACCCTTATAACCATTATAATTTCAGGTAGTGCTGTTCATGTGATGGGGAGAACCTTTGAAATTGATTGATTGTGTCATTTTACACCTCAAATTTAGTCATTCTCTGTTTCTCTATGGACATTTATCAAGGAAACCAAATGTGTTTCGGTGGCTCAGTTGTTGGGTCTCTCGCCGACCATGCACATGGTCCGGGTCTCGAGCCCACGCCGACGCACACCTTGATATCTATGGTCGGCCTGCGAATTTTGGGCTACCGATATCCATGCTGTAAATTCCATACTTGTACCAAAAATACGATATGGAATCAAGCTGTAATCAAAAAATAAAATAATTTGTCTAGATTTATTGTCAAACATTTTATATCCACGATATAATACACAAAGTAACCATGGGTTAAACCTTAGGGATATCATTAATTTGTAGATTGACATCAAATTAGCTTTCAAGACCATCTGTAGAATTTGATGAAGGTGCATAGTGAATTACATTGAGACTATGGCTTTCCACAAAATAAACCCCTCCCTCTCGCCGTGTGTACAAAAGGCTATTCAGTATTACTCTTAACCCACCTCAGTAATTCCCATCTGAATATATTGCCAGTAGCAGTGTTTATTATTTTTACTGATATTGTTAAATCCTTCGTCACTTTGTTTATTTCACTAAACCCTTAATTACTTCATTTTCCGCACAAACTAATTCGAGATGTGTATAATCCGATCGTTTAAAATGTAGTATGCAAATATATTATATACTTTCTTAGACAATCTCATATCTGTATCCAACGTAGGTGGCCTTTTTAAAACCTGCGCTACTGTAAACCTCAGTAAATTGTAGTGGTAAACAATTCCCCAAAATTATTGACCACAGTAATCATCACTGAACATTGGATGCTGACCCTCACTGTTTAAGTCGACTTGTTTAACGGAAGTCTTCTATTCAAGGATTCACGCCATTTAGTACTCCGTCGTGTCGCGTTCGTGCACAATCACTAGCCATCTAAGCAATCTCCAATTTGATCCTGAAATATATCTCGTAATTTGGATGATCAATTCTGTTCTTTTGCTTTGTTTTCGGTCTACGTGGAACGAGTACTATAGAAGTTGTCGGTACTCTGTACGATCCGCCAACGTCAATATCGTCAGCCTCTAAAAAATATATATAGCATAAAATTTCTCTTGTTCAGTTTGTTTTAATCTGATTAAATATGACCTCTAATAGTATTATTTACTCTCGCGGGTATTTAAAATGGTTGTAGTCTGCTGATTTTTAAGTTTCTACGAAACTTGTGAAATAGCGTAGTGCTGCTTAGGGATGTATCCTAATATATGAAATGACCATTCCTGTATTATTTCCTTCAGTCTCAAAATGTACTCCTTAACATAATACAGCTGGCATCCAAACAAACATTGTGCATTTCTCCGAAGAAGTAAAGGAAACAAATTAACATAATGGATTGGTGTACCCTTCGGGTCAAATAGCACTATATCAGAAAACCTACTGTCAATCAATATTTTATTTGAAGATCCTGGACGAAGGGGAAATGCCATGCAATGAACTCCACTGAAAAATTCTGTACATCACATGAACACTTTTTAGAATAAGGCTATGCATGATTTCAAGCTTGAACACGGATTGATATCAATTGGAGAAAAGTTGAAAATCAATTAGGGAATACTATACAGGTGTTTCGTCCAGATTTGGAATTCATCAGAAGTATGCACTCACCGCGATCCGAACCCGAGACCTATAGGTTATAAGTGAAGTTCGTATACTATTCGGCCAATGTCAATGTGTCACATAGTAGAATGAAACAGCCATCCAGTATCCTTTAGTTTCCAATAATTCTCTAGAGGAAACCAATGCGTGAACCGAGCTGAGGGTGATTAAAGACCTAAAAACAAACTCTTGAGAAGCTATTATTGCTATAATTGTCAAATTATCTCCTGATAACTCTACCGGAATTTATTAGAGAGACTGTTTTATTTTCCGAGTACGACAGAATGCTTCACCAGCACATCGTTATTCTACTCTCTTCCCTGGAACCGATTTCAACTCAATGAACCCTCATTAGCTTTCATGTTCACTAAGATTCCTAGTACTGCTTTGGCAATTTTAGGAGTTCTGTTCATAGTTGTCTTAATGGCGATTCACTTTTTGTGTGGGATTAGGTCAACAACAGTGAAATAAATCTACCATATGTTTTAACTACTTAAATGTCTCCTAGTAGTATGAGTTATAATACTAAAGATATTTAGGTTTTATACTTGCCCTAGTTTAAATCCCTTCAGGAATAAATACACATAGCCCCACACCAAGGATCGAATCCAGGAACTTCAGGTAACAGGTCGCAACTGTATACTATTCATCATTCTGCCCTCACTAATAATGGATCAACCAACATCTGTGTAAATAATTGAGGCTCATTATTTACTCTAATATTATTGTCCCTTGGGTCCCGAGTAGAATATAATGATTCAGAAACACATCTCTACTTGTCCTGTTACTAACTGACCTCTTTAGCCCTCCACATGACTTTCCATAGCCTTACATCTCTTCTACCCATGATCGCCTCCACATCACCCTCGGACTCTCAACTTGTCGTTTCCCATACGGCATTTTATAGAAGCTCTGCCTGGCGAGTGACAACATTCGACAGTCTCCTCCTCTCTATTCTCGTCGGAACATCTGTGAAGTAATGGGTGCTTTCGATTGATCGATTCCCACAGTTTCTGAGTGCTAGATCTTTCTGGCCAGCCATTTTGTCTTCAGTATGAAGACAGCGAGGACAGCTGTTGATAAAAGTCTACAGTAGCCTGTTAGGAATGCTTTTTGTGAAGTTCTGGACAAGTTTCTGATCCATAGAGAAACATTGACTGGCTTAACACTGGCGTTTTAAATCCCACTTTTGTTCCTTTTGCAAGCTGAGTGCAGACAATCTCCAAACTGATTTCAGAGTGATGAAGGTGTGTCTTGCCTTCCCGATTCTGTTCTTGACTTTGACATCCTGGCTACACATAGTTGGAAAGATAGGCCTTTCTAATGGGTGTATATGAGTACGAAGATTGTAAGTAGACATATTTCTGCTGACTACGTTCAGCCACAAATAAGGACCTGTTTTGAGGTGTCAGTAAGCCTCTCCTACCATCATTTCTACTTTTATATCAACTTCACGTACATCTAAGTCTGAATTAATGGTATAAAGACCCTTAGTTCAAAACTCGCCACAGTACAAACTTTTGCTTACTTTCAATCATACCCCGACTACATCAGTAACTGTTATAATCACGTATTGCAATCAGTTAGAGAACCACTGGATAACCAGAATGGAGTACTCGACACCTGTTTCGTCCTAGCTTAGGACTCTTCAGGATCACGCATCCCCGAAGTTCAGAACCAGTACGTCCAGGTAACAAGACGAACTCGCAGACCATCTAGTCGTTGCGACCCGACCCAGTGGGAATCCCACGAATTCTAACTTCCGCCACCTTGCTATATATAAATATATATATATATATATATATAGCTCACCCGCCAGCCGATGCCAGAGGACAGGAACTGCTGTGTTACTTGCTTTGATGGACCCTGCCACTTACAACCTCTCACTTCTGACTAGCTCGTCTTGCAACTGACAGATCCTGGTTTTGAACTCCAGTGGGTAGGTGATCCTGAAGAGTTCCAGAGTGACCCAAAGCAGCTCTCGTGTACTCCCATCTGATTTTTCAGTGGTTCTCTAACAGAAGTCAGCTCATGACCAAACCTGTAAAGAATAAAATCCATGTAAACCAGCATCACTCACAACCTGACAACCAAACGCCATTTGAATTAAATCTCACTGTCAAATAAACAGTAATACTTATTAGTAATATATCTAATTAGATAAAATTTAATTCCGTTTGTTTATTTGTTTGTCCTTTATCGATTTTTTTTACAGATGTAAACATCTTAGACAGGTAAACACTTTCATATTTTTGTAGCTACAGTTGAAATAAATAAATAATATATGAAGTGGTTCAGTTATTGCATAATCTTCAATCTTTTAACAACAATGAAATAATCTCTTCTAATTTCTCTTCATCTGCTTGTAATATTGTCTCGACAAGACGACATCGATGTGAAATCAAGGCTCGATTAATTGCTGATCTCTTTGGATCTTGTAACAGGTCCTCAGCTTTATTCGATTTATGCACCAATTTCGCCGACCATTCTGGTATACAGATTTTACTGCATTCATCAGTTCCAACAGTTGGAACTAATTTAACACCGTTATTTATTTGTGACATCTCGTTTACTGTGTAGTGGGATTTGTGGTTTAGAACTCGTTGAGACCCATCATTACATTTAATACGATCATATTGTAATTGATATTCATGACACTTTTTACAAGGATGAATATTATTATCCATCCGGTTATTGTGTAATCTCCCTTGACCTGGTTTTCTTTGGATTTCATCACTTTCAAAAGAATTATGATCTAAATATTTTATGGCTGATGTAGACGCAGATCTTGATGATCTCAGATGTTGATCTTTTCGACCGAATCTTTTAACTTTTGGTAAAATACGCGGAAGGTGAATATCACTAGCGTTAACATTTGTGTTTAAATTTCTTGATAGATCACTATTTTCTTGTGATGAACTAGGATCCAGTGAATAATTCGGTGATGTATTCAGCCGTAAATTTCTGCCTTTTGATGAGAATGTTTCATCGGTGAATTCGTATTCTTCATCATCATTGTTACCTGATCGTTGATGGCGTATATCAACTTCTTTACATCTCAATCGAATATGTTCATTTTGTTGTCTCCAGCCGTTGAGTTGATCATCTTTGGCTTTTGATTCACTAGTTGAAGAGTAATCCACTGGTTGATTTAATGTAATTGAAGTATTCTGAGTTGGTCGAGTCATTGAACGAGATTCTGATAATCTTGGAGTATTATTATTATCATCACCTAAATGACGGCTTGTTACAGATACCGGATGACCGTCAACAGAACTCTGAGTACTTAAACATTCAACTTGACTAAATTGAGTACTTGGTGTTTTAATGAGGGGATTTAAATGAGAATTAATCTGAACTTGATGATTTTTAGATGGAGAAGTTTCATTGGGTGATATGGACTCATTAACTTTTACAGCATTAGATTTATTCATGTGCTTTTGTTGTTGAAGTTGTTCGTGTCGCTTTAGATTTCCTGAAGCCACTGAATCAATACCAAGAAGAAGATTGTCTACAGCTATGGAACCACTATTTTGTATACTTTCTAAGCTTTTAGGCATATCACTTGTCTTATTAGTATTAGTATGTCTCTTTTGACTGTTAATTGTCTCTCTTGATGGAGTTGTTTGGCTATTATTCACCTTAAAGTATTTATCAGCATTGATATAACTCCTACCAGTGTTTAATTTTTGAACAAATTCATTTGATTCATTGATTTTCACATCACAGTTCGAATCCATCAGTAATACATCATGTTGACTTGTATTGCAACTGTCCACATTCGATGAATTCACTAACACCACTTCACTACTATTCTGATTAATATCTCTTCTCCTCGGTTCCTTAATCGTAATGATTGGACCTGTCATTTCAGCGAAATCAGCAGTTTTAACAAATTTTGGATTTAATTTTGTTGCCAAGCCAGCCAATCGATCATTTTGTCCTTCGAGACATTCAGTATAAACACGTTGAGCTTGTAATGAACGCAGCAGGTTGCGTCGAACTTCTTCTTGTGCTGATGAATGCTGTAGATAGTATTGTTCAATACGTTTATCCTGGGCAATTTTATCATTCACTAACTCCATACAAGCATGTAATCTTTGGGCTAATTGAATTACATCTGTATGTATCTCTAGCAGACGATCTCGCATTGTACCATTTTTAGCCTTTAGACCAAAACCAGGTATTGATGGCCAAGCAAATGTTCTTTCAGCTAGACTCATTGTTCTTGTTACAACAGGCATTGCATAATTAGCAGCTTGACACATAATTATCTAAAAAATGAAAAACAAACAAAACAAAATTACAAACAGTTACGCAACAGACTTCGATTTTTCGCTGTTTAGAAAACAGAAAGATTGAGTGAAGAAATATTTACCTTTCAATTAGATCCTCATCTCACTATGGCTCTACTCTAATATACACGTTTAGCATTTTTATTACAATACACAACAATTTACCAATCAAGTGGCGATAAGTTTCTTAACAATAATTATTCAGTGTCAAAATGTCAATAAGGTGATAATTAACGAAGAAAATGTGTTTTGGTGGCATAGCGGTTAGGACGCTCGCCTATCATGAGCATGGTCCGGGGTTCGATCCCCAGTCGATGCACACCTGATAACAATGGTCGGCCTGCTAAACTTGGGCTACCAAAATCACATGCTGCAAATTCCATACTTGTATCAAAAATACTGTGTGGGGTCAAGCTACAATAACTATTAAAAATTAGAATTAAATTAAAAGGTAGAAATGTTTACAACAGGTGGATCGCATCATGCATAAAATTTTGGAAAATTTAAGAGTAATTAAGGAATAAGCGTGTGCACAGGTTGATTACGTAACAGATTACTAAAGAAAATAAAATGATTTGCACAATGATAACTTGTAGCTAAAGGCGAAGTGGTCATAAGAATAAAATAATTTTACAAGGATAACACGTAATTAAAGGTGAAGTAGTCAGAAAAATAAAATAATTGGGATAATTATAGTTTTTAAAAAGAAAAATTATTTTAGAGGAAGAGGGATGATGTAGTCCGGTTTATACATTCATGTAACGATGGCCAAGGTAGGGAAAGTGACTGTACAAATTGTTTCTGAACACACAGGTGTTTGGCTTCTTCAGGTGGATTCCTATTGCTTCAGCTGTATGTAGAAGACGAACTCATAAAGCAAAATTAAGACTAGTAGGGATGCGATAAATAATTTTAAATGCAGTATTAACGTCAACCTTATGTTCACTATCTACAAGATGGGCTAAAATAGAGCTACGAATACATCTTATTTGTCCCTTGCTTAACCATGCTGGATGATGTTTGGAAATACGATGATGAACCTGCCTAACTGTACGCCCGATGTAGCTGGCTCCACAGCTGCAGTCAAACTCGTAGAAACACATAGAGGAGGCAAATTTAGGTAGTTTATCCTTATTACTCGAACGTAGAATAGGGGTGGTTGTGAAGAGACAACGTACCTCTGCTGAATAATAAGCTCTTTTAACTGCATTCTTCATTCGTTGTGTTATTATTTCGCTGATGTTGTCACCAAGGAACTGCAGTTTTATGAACAGTGGTTTTTTCGGAACTCTTGCCATACTGACTCTCCTAGGTGCTGAATTCATATTTTTCTCAATGAACGTATCCAGATAACCATTTTTTCTAAGTAATTCTTTAATAATCTTATGCTCCTCATTTAGGCATTCGTCTAAACAGATTAATCTAGCTCTATGAACCAGCCAGAGATGAGGATCTAATTGAAAAGTAAATATTTCTGTATTCTAATTGTCTAAATGGGGATTTTTTTTGTTTCACGAATAGGACAAAGTGATTTAAGTTTGAGCTTTGAAGTTTCATTAGCAGTGGTTTAACTTTTAACTGGGTAGGATTATTAGCCTTACGCCTGACTATCTGCCTTTATCAGGCTTAATGCCAGCCAAGTGAGGTCTAGAAGTGTGGAGGCTAGGGATCGAAACCTGGACCACATATGCAGTCGTTGGCAAGTATTCTACCACCTAACCATTGAAGCGCCACTCATGAAGTAAAGTGATAGAAAAAGTATGTTAAGATTGTTACTTTTCGCAAGTTACATCCTCCAGTAAAATCGAGAATACAGTATTACTGCATTCAGTCTATCGGTGATGAAAAGACTAAATTCTTAATGCTACAATGGGAATTATTAAATTATTGAAAAGACTAAATTGTCAGTGATTCAGGGTAAAGTTAATGAGACAGAATATTCCAGAATTTAAAGCAGTTGGTTCTCTTTATGAATATTCACAACACAATAAGAAGAAGAAGTTTATCCGAAATGTGTAATGTATTTGCGCAAAACATTTCCAACATTCTGATCACACACACACACACACGAGTACTTGTCATACACAGTTTTTATAGAAAGCAAGAAGGTATGAACAATTACAATACAGGTCAGATTGTGTACAGGTCAAGGTCTGTTATGCACTACTGCTGAGTGAGTTATTAGAGTTTTCCCCATCGCCAATTATGTTATGTACTCGTCGAGTAGTTAATAGTCCTGACGCGGAAAGAGGGAAATCAGAAGACCACTAGGTTTTCGATGATACTTGTATTTTCCAGACAAGGAAAATAAATGTCACACAAATGTGTGAGTGGAGTAGTACGCATGCACGAAAAGTGTGTGGACCAGAATGAACAAGGGTCTAATACAAAAGTATATATGAAAATGGCTAATACACATGAACCAATAAGATAACATCTTACCACGATTGGTTGTAATGTCATGTGATAACAAGGTCATACATGTTTATTTAGCTAGTGGACAGACAAAAGTATATTGCCAGTTATAATGGAATATCGATCCATATACACATAGCAAAATATAACAGATTGTCAAAAGGAAAACACACGTCATGTGGATACATATCAAGGTCAGAAATAATGGGTAGGGAGACGCAAAGGTGTGGGTAAGAAAGCAAAACAAAACAAAAAAGAGGTTGAAAATAGTATGAAGTAAATTGGTCCTTGGCTCTACATTGGATTACTAAGGCCGGTTTAAATTGATAACAAATAACTTTTGGACGCACAAGACAGGTTTAAGACTTTTTATGGCCAAGGCTTCAACGACTTTAGGTATGTTACCCAACCTCGTTTCATATATGGGTTTAAAGACATTGTTGAAATCAACCTTATGACGAGACTTTATAATTTGCTTCGCTATAGATGATGCTGGACATTTGTTCCGGGTCTCAGTTGTATCTGACGATTTTATCTGTTGTTGCATCCACTTCAGGATATTTTCTGTAGCACTAACCTGCATAGATCAATGGGTCCTCCCTATATACGTGTGTCCACACAAACATACAGCGGGACGTGACACAATCATTCGGATAATGTGAGGATGTACAGGACAGCATAGTTCTCATTTTCTCTATGAAGATAAATTTACTTGCATAATAGGTTCCATTAATTGCCGCCTTGAGTTTTTATTTAGTGACGAGACTTTGTTGATCACTTCTAAACGGCAAGGATATGCAAACATTCCTTTTGGGGAGCTGATTGAATTGGTAGAGTTCTATGGTTGACACTTCCGTAACGCCTAATAAGTCTCAACGGGTAATTGTTATCTAAAAATATTTCATTGAGGTGTTGTCTTTCTTCTTCAGTTGTATCGGGTGTACATATGCGTCGGTGGCACAGTGGTTAGGACTCTAGCCGACCATGCATATGGTCCGGGGTTCGAGCCCACACTGACGCACACCTGATATCTATGGTCGGCCTGCGAAATTTGGGCTACCGATATCCACGCTGAAAATTCCACACTTGTACCAAAAATACGGTGTGGAATCAAGCTGTAATCAAAAATATAAAAAAATAATAGTAAACAAACACTTAACCAACGCTGAGTTTCGAAATGATATCAGTTAGAGAACCGCTGAAAACCAGGAAATACCAGAAGGTTGTTTCATCCTAGTTTGGGACTCAACAACGGTACATACACACAGGGGTTGGAACCCAGGACATCCAGGCTATAAGGAAAGCTTATGGACCGCCCAACCACTGAGACCCAACTCAGTGACCCACGAATTCTAACTTCTACCAATTTTTGTTATATGAAGCACGAATATCAATTAATTTCATCTTTGGGTATTTGTCCTCACTCACGACCTGGTTATCAACCCCACTATTCATGACTGCTCACTAGATGACGAGGTAAATTCATCCTGCAGCAACTTCTCTCTCCATGTGCCTAGTTCACAATCCATATGTTTTGTCATTTATTATTATTCCCTTGAATTCCGAGGAGAATATAGACCTTCAACAACTCATCACCATTTCAGTCTGTTCTCTGCAGTCTTTCCAAGATGGTTTCAAGCTTTTCCATGAGCTTTCATCTGCTTATCGCACAATCTCTTTCGTGTTACTGTGAGACGTTTAACTCATCGCTTACACTCGGGAGTTTGTCTGGTGCGTGATCCCACTCATTGGTCTCCTGAATGCAATACACATTCATTTCTTTTTGCATTTATATCAGATGATAGATCTAGGTAGATTCATTGCCTACCAGAGTTTCTTGAGGTTTATTCTTTCTGGCCAGCTATCTAGCCTTCAGCATGGCACCTTTTCAGCAGTTATAGTAATAAAGCTTTATTTCAGACAATCTGTGAACGCACAGTACAGAAATTTTCACCGCATTTATTTCCAAAGTATTTGCTTCTCATAAAAAACTTACATGTAAAATATGAATCTAAAATATATCATGTGACATAGTGTTATTTCATTTGAAGATAGATCTAATCCCCTAACCTTTTTCTTCATCTCTTTCAAGAACTTTACAGAGGTTAGTCAGAAGCCAATTAAATAAGCAAGTGAGTTCATACAGTGGTCCTGTCATACAATTTCACGCTTGAAACAATAAGAAATGTAGAAGAGTTAAGGCATTTCGATGAATGGAAATTTCGATAGCCCGATAATTTAAGCAGGCCGTGGTGGAAATTATACACTATTGGACGTGTTAAGACTTCTGGAGGGAATACAGAATTACATCGCCTTCCTAATGGAATGTGCTATTGTTATTTTACAAAGTGTAGTTTCTAGCCTCATATACATAACCTCCTTTATTTTCTGATTTTATTACTGGCCAGTAAGCTGGGAGAGATGTGCGAATGCGTAGACTAAGAATCAAACTCGGACCTACCGCTCGGCTAGCGAACATTTATCCAATGAACCACGTAAGGGAAAATACAGCTTTTGATTATGTCTGAGGTGAGTTTCCGCCATAGCATTCTGCCTACAACTAA